AGATAGATAGATAGATAGATAGATAGATGCACTCCTGATTGTACAGGTTGCATTTGGCAACCCTGAGGCCAGCCAATGGCTTTTCCCCCAAACATTACCCCATTTTTTCTTTTCTTTGCCTGATTCTCTCGGCCCGTTTTACCTTCCCCGCAACCTCCGAGGAAGGCCAGCCAGCCTGAGAGGATGCAAAGGACCTGCAAGGTTATCCCATCAGTTTTAGGAAGAAATAAGAATTTGAACCCTCATCTGAGATATGATTTGTTTGGTTGTTACCCTTTAGCAAAGCTGAATGGATTATCTGGAGCCGCAGGAAATGTAATAATAATATACTTGGATGACTTAAACAGGAAAATATGCAAGACAGTAGCCTAGAATTATACCTTTAGGAATTTAAACCCCAATTAGTCATGCAAAGTGTTTCTGTTGCACACTGTGTCAGTCACACATCTGGCATTCGATCCCTCTATCCATAGGTGACATTTTAGAAGAGTGTCTTAATGTTAGCAAAGGAGTAAATATGTGAAAGTCTCATCTCAGAAAACCCCAGCATGAATTTTTTAATCTGAGAAGGATTGGGTGCAATTTTTAATATTTATTTATTTATTTATTTATTTATTTATTTATTTATTTATTAATTAAATTTGTATGCCGCCCATCTCCCCCCAACGGGTGACTCTGGGTGGCTCAATTGTTTGGCCTAAGAAATGCTAAGAAATTGCATTGTTTGGCTTAAGAAATGATGACCATTTCTTTCCCCACCCAGAAAGGACTCTTAAAACCTTGAGAGAACATTTGAAGGGAGAAAGGAAATTCTTTCTTACCCCTCCAGAGACTATGACAGTCAAAGTTCCTAGTCCTCAAGGAACTGGAGTCGAGGGGAAATAGTAGGGAGTATAATTCTCCATACACATGGACGGGTAGAGAAATAAAGTGGATTTTTCTACATTTAAACCAGGGCATGAATTTAAAAAAAAAATTCACTAGAGAGGCCTAGAAATATAATTTATTTTTAGTGACTGTTCTGGGATATTCCAGGACCAGGAGTATCAGCCACTAGAATATATTCTGAATAATAGAGAATATTTGGAGCCATGTTGTGATTTCTGTGGCCATTAGAGGGCAGACACATCCTCTTAATGATCAGGGCACTTCATTCTTGTAATAAATTTGCTTTTTGTTTTATTTTTAGTGTTCTTTCTGTTGTTATCTATTGATGATATTCCTGTAGGGTTTTAAAAGTGATCCTGGATGTTTTTCATTGTTTCCCTCTATATTCTGTGTAAGCTGCTTAGAGTCATTTTCACTGTAGCAGGATGGAAATGTGCTTGATAAATAAATAGAAATCAATAGTCTACTTAAAATCATTAGCTAATGAGATATATCTGGAGCAGAAGTGCTAGAAGTTCAGTAGAAGTCTATTTTGGCTAAAGCATTATTTTAGAAGAAGCCTAAAGTTCAGAACATGAAAGACTAACATGGAGCAGAATTTTTGCATGATAGCAGTAAAAACACAGATGTGATATCAGCAAGCAGCTATTTACAATTACCAGGATTTAAGCTTGAGCCTTACAGGTCCCACCCAGAGTTCAGCTGCAAGACGTTAGTAAGGCCTTTGGAAATTGCTTGGGCTGAAGAAAACCCCTACTCACAAGTAGGTCTTGACTCATGCAGAATCCTGCTCACCTTTTGTGGAAGACACTCTTGTAGGGGAACATCTGTGGATGTTCTCTTATCCAGTTCTGGGATCATCTGAAGTTATTGGTTAGGCATTTGGTGTACTAATTAGGGGAAAAAAACATTCAGACATTGTGATGTGTATAGAGCTACAAAGATTGGAATCATGCAAACAATGTGTTGTTTTTTTCCTGTGACACTTTATGGAAGCAAAAGTTGGACTCTGAAGAAGCGGGATAAGAAGAGTATTGATGCTTTTGAACTTTGGTGTTGGAGAAGACTCCTGAGAATACCATAGATCATCAAACAGACGAACCCAGAGTTCTCACTTGAGGCACAAATGACCAGGCTCAAACTATCATATATTTGGCACATAGTGTGAGGACCTAACTCTTTGGAGAAGACTGTAATGCTGGTGGAAGGAAAAAGAAGACAAGGATAAGCAGCAGTAAGATGGAGGGATTCATCAGTGGTGATGGGTGCACTGTTGGAAGACCTTAAGGATCAGGTTAGGGACATTGTCATGGAGAAAATTATGTGGTTGCTAAGGGTCAACACTGACTTGATGGCACATAATAAATCAATACCGTTTAAGAATGATGGTCAACTCACAACTTGGAAGAGCACCAGGTGGACAAAGGCTGGCCCAGACCAGGAGAGCTGGAGAACCAGATAGCCTACTGTAACTCTATCTCCTTCCTCATCATACCTAATTTTTGGAGATGATGGCAGTTGAGTTTGTCAAAAAACTAGCCACCATCTTTGAACAGCCTTTGATTGTCTCTTAGAAGAGAGTTTGTGCAAGAGATCACCCCCTCTTTTCCTTCGCTGCCTTAACAGCCCTTCCCTTCCTTTGCAAGACTTGCCTTCCTTCTTGCTTTTGAACTGACACTGGTGGAGTAGGGCAGGGCTCAGATAATACCTGGCAATTAGGGTAGGCAGATTGGACTCCACCCGAAAAGGTAGATTGCCATCTTGTTGCTTTGAAGTATAGTTCTGCCCTTGTTGTTGTTACTATTGTTAATAGTAATATCCCACCTTCTGCTTCTATAAGCCCAAGCTCAAGTTGGACTATCTTCCCCCAGCTTTTGATGGTGTGAAGTACTGGAATCAAGACTTAGACCAGTGTTTCTCATCCTTAGCAACTTTAAGATGTGTGGACTTCAACTCCCAGGATTCCCCAGCCAGACACAGAATGCATCACCTGTTTTTGCTGAATGTTCTAGATTTGCAGAAACCAAAGCAGAAAATTAACCAAACTGGCTGGGTGACACTACAAACCAAGCCCCCAACTGCCTAACTGAAGTTAACATTAACCAAGCACATTCCTTAAGTCGGTTGAATGCAATAGCTTGGTCTTTATCTGATCTGGTTAGTCACGTTAAGTGAACCCTGGAGGTTGGGTAGATGGAGAACATTTCTTGGGTCTGTCCAGATGCAGCTAGTTCTAGTGTCATCTGGTGGCCAAACTGTGCATGACACTAGGCATGGATAGAGAATGGAAAGCAACGGGTTAGGGTTAGGAGGAGGGAATTACACTGAGAAGGAAAGTGCCCTGTATGGTTCAATTAGAAGTTCTCCTAGGAGAAGTCTAGGAATTATGGAAGAGGAGAAGGTTATTGTGATGAAGGCCGCGCTCAGGGAGATAAACATTTCCTTAGCCCCCAACAGGAGCATGGGAAGGTTAAGAAGATGAGACTGGCACCACCCT